AAAAAAAATTCAAGTCTCTAGCTCTTATATCTTCGGAAATCGACCTTATATCTTAATCATGTACCTTCCTGGATAAGAGAGTCATGGCTCCGTGTTTCGTTTTTTATATTTAGACCAATCTGTACATCCAACCCACAGGCTGCCATATACGTAGAGCCCACGATTTTGATTTTCTCTACTCGATATTTGTCCCTATAATAGGACAACTAAAACAGAAATATTAAAAGCTAGCAATTGAATTGGTGTTGCCAGATCTTACAATTTGGTCGAATTCGGAAATAATCTCATTGAGAACTCGTAAGTTAGGCAAAGTTAATTCGAAGTTTTTGAGGGAAGCGAACATAACAGCCACCATATCGTAGCTCTCATAATAAAGCTCGTGTTTGGCCAACGAAGTCAGGTAGACATTGACTGCAATAAATGATGTATTCATAACTATTCAATATGAAAATTAAGTAAGCAACTTTCGTACCAACATGGGCTGGCAAAATGTTGTGCAATAAAATTGTTATCGATTGGGCAGCTATACGGGAATCATCCTGTTTTTTTATTAGCTCTACACTCCATCTAAATAGAATGTTTGTATTATGGAATTAACACGTAAGTTCTTGACTCACTTGTAATTGATTTTATTATCGAATTCCGTCTGTCGCTCCTTGAAAAATATAACTAACAAAGTAACTAAAATCAACAGGCAGTGTGCGTATTCAGGTAGAAAATATGGGTTGGTTGTCAAACTGGTGTGTACAACATACTCATATTGATAAAACATGATGATTAAATAGCTGATAGCCTCTAGCAAGCCAATAAATATTCTCATGTTAAACGGAATTCGTGTAAATATTATACTCATCATTATAATAAGGCACACCATACACGTCAGGGTCCACGGGGCGAAGCACATCATAAAATCAGGCTCGTACTTGTACAGTATGCTGTCGATATGCATTAACTGGAATTCATCCCGATCACAATCATTCTAAATAAAATAAATTGATTGTTATGATTGCTGCTGTCCAATCAAAATGTTTAGTTACCAACCAGCATAAGAGCAATAATACAAAAGTAAGATATAATGAAGTACATATATATACCGATGCGATTGATGAGACTGCGCTGTAAACTATCAGCGATTTTAAATAAGAAGCAGGTGAAAGGTGAGTATGTGTGTAACATTGTGGAATAGCGCCAATGGCAGATCTTCTTATACCAAGTTATAAATAGCAGCATGGATAACGTAATTATAAGAACTATATCCACATAAACTGAGAAGTTGTCCTTTTTTTGGTTATAAAATAGTTGTACGTATATAAGAGTCATACCGCAGCACCAGGCTAGGAGAACACTGTATTTCAACATATAGTCGGGTTGGTGGATATACTTATATTCCAGTCGGGAATCATGAAAATGCAATAAAAAACTTCCAATTTCTGACTTGGCCGTAGTTGACTTTTCTTTTTGTTTTTTGTGTTTAAAATTAAATATTTCATATACGACTTCTTTAAGTCTGTTTAAAGACATAATTTTAATGTGCAATGAGGTTAAATAAAATGATACTTACCCTTTGGGACCAAGCGGCATCTTTTTCAATTCTTCATCTAAAGATAGCCCATTGTCATTTGTCTCTTTTATAGAACTTATTGAGCCAGGATACTCAAAAGATTTAAATTCATTTGTTTTATTTTCATCAATACCGGTAATAAGGAATGTGACAACATTGAACTTTCGAAGGAAATGATCTTTGCGGGCTTTATCGGTGCCAGGATATACTTTGTACCTGTCGTCTGTCATTTGCAGAGTTCTTTCGCTAACATGAATTTGACCAGGCATACCAGTTGATTCCAATTGATTCGCAATTAGGACATCTGTACCTAATAAGATAATATTTATAAACAACTGGAGGTTGGTGGAAATTTTGCTTACCCCAAATATCATATTGTAGTTTCGCTGCCCCTAGGACACCAGCAAACAGTTCTCCCGAATGCACACCCACACGCATGTCGATGTCAATTTTTACTTTGTCTCTAAAATATAGATAGATAGATAGGTCAGAAGCTTAAAATCCTATTCGAAATACCCTATACTCAACCCGAATTACATTTTCAAGCATTCTACACTGCTTGTATTTATGAACACATATACAATAGCACCTGTATTTTCAAATGTAGATGCACATAGATATGCATAAATAAATTTCTTAAGTATGTGAGTATAGAATATTAGGACTTACGTCTTTAAAACTTCTTGTAAGTCAGAGAAAAATTTTATTTAAAAACAAGTAAGAACGCTCTAGTCGAGACTGCTCGACTACGAGATCCCTTGAACCCTTACAGTAATAGCTATTTCAATTACTATTAAAAACGCACATAAAGTATAGTTAAAATTTAAATTTCGGTGTATTCAAAAATATAAATAAATAGAAAACTCATTTATGAAAATATAAAAATATTTTGAAACAATTAAAAAAAAACTAACATCAGTTGCATCGNTCAGATTTTTCGGTGTTGAAAAACTTTGTACTACATGTCTAGTCTATGTGTTCTCTGGTCAGTGATATAAGTATACATAAAAAATTTGGAGAAATTTGGCTTTAAAGATGTAGGAGGTATAAATTTATTACTGGTTTTCGATGATGTTTTTAATCGATAACAAAATAACGAGGCAAGTTATCGATATTTAAAACAAAACTCGATATGCGCGTGCTATACACGGACCTAGGAAAAATTTCAGGTCTCTATCTCTTATATCTTCTAGGATCGACGCGTTCAAACAGACGGACAGACGGACGGACGGACAGAGCTAAATCGACTCAGCTGATCGCCCTGATCAAGAATATATATACTTTAAGGGGTCTGCCACGCCTCCTTCTGCCTGTTACATACATTTAACAAAACCATTATACCCTGATTTCCCATTGAAAATGGATTCAGGGTATAAAAAGATCGGGGTGAGTTATCGATATTTAATGATAAACTCGATATCCGCGCTGTAAATACGAACATTTAAAACAAAAATTTCAAGTCTCTAGCTCTTATATCTTCTGAAATCGACGCGTTCATACATACGGACAGACGGACGGACAGATAGACGGACAGGGCCAAATCGACTCAGCTCGTCACCCTGATCAAGAATATATATATACTTTGTTGGGTCTGCCTATTACATACATTTCAATAAAACCGGGTATAACTGATTTCACATTGAAAATGGGTTCAGGGTATAATTAAATATTCGTTCCCAAGAACTTTTGATAATTGCGATGGAACTTATCAAAACTAGGAAGAATGTTATTAACAGTTTGAAACAACCTTAATATAGTCCTATTATAGCTGAAGGTACGAGTAAAAATACGAGTTTTTAGTCTTTTAGTTACCAAGGTCAATGCAGCCATACAAATAACTACACGAATGGACATGGCTGTTTCTGAATCGACCACGTCTACACTTTTATAAAACAATTATATAGCATAATAGTGTAACATAAAGAACAATCGTTATTTTCCTTGGTACTAACCGAATTTCTCGAATACTATCGATCATACAAAGTCCTAAATCCACGCAGCATTTGGCATGGTTAGGATCTGGGTTTATAAGGCCCGCTACACAATAGTAGCAGTCTCCTAAGAATTTGATTCGCTGCACAGCATACTTGGAAGCAGCCTTATCAAATCTGGCATACAAAGCGTGCAGTAAAGCGATAAGCCTCTTAACGGGTAACTTTGTGGTTAACATTGTGTAGTTAACTATATCTGCATACAGAATAGTGACGTCTGTATGAATTTGAATGGATATAATTCGACATGTTCTCCTGATAGAGGGAGTTTTGTGTTGCTTTTCCATGGATTCAAGTCGCTTTCGAATATCATCTTGAATGGGCTCTGCTATCTGCGGTGGCAGTATGCTATGCAAAAATACTCTTTCCTGCGCACGCGCGCTTCTTAACGTAGTATCCTCCATTACATACTGATGCCGATCAAGTAGCGAGGCGCGCACAACTATCTCSCGCATTACGCGAAAATAGGTACCCATCATATTTAGGCAAATATAGTTGCATAACTCAACAATAAATTGGTTGAAACGTGTCGTATAACCCATTTTTTTTCGGTATTCAATGCCAAGATAGAGTCCAAAGTAAGTTACATACGTTATAGTCACAGAAAATGCAAGCATCACCGCAAGCACATATGGAACCGGCAAAAACATATAAATCATTAATATAATGTATACATCAAAGATTGTTTCCAATATCCAATCACTATTCCGATTATGGAAATAATTAAGCAGCAGATCTGAATAAGTAATATTTATATTTATAATGTTAAATAATAAAAATAAAAAAGATACCAACCAACTGAAACAATAGCCATCACGGCAATCATCGATGTAAGGGACATCATAAATTTATGTCTCATCACAAACTCCACATTTATGTTAGGCCACATTACTGCAATGATGACAGCGCTCAATGCAACATAGCAGAAAACGTCTATATATATTAAATCCAGGTGCTGTGCACACAGATAATTTAACAATCATTATTTAAATAATGCAGAGCCACCCTCTCACCACACAGGTCGTCAATAACAAAGTGCAATGCAATATTGTGAAAAACAAATGCAGCATCAGAAACACGCCGACGTAGTTGGCCCGGAGACGCATCTGGTGAGCATCAAATTTATCTTCAATACCCGCATCTTTACACTTCTTCTGAAAATGTTTGTATATACATATAAATATAATACAGTTGATGGCATTCATTAATTTAGAATATGGGGTACCGTTAAAAATCCATAGTCCCATTTTATTTCCTTTGTATAATTCAATTGACAAATCATTTTTAAAAAATAAAAAATATCAATATAATAATAAGAAAACAAAATGTAAAAACAAACCAAAAAACTAATTATTCAAAGAGTAGATGATATAATAGTTTTAAACAGAAAAAAAACACATATTCTCATAAAATAATAACTACATAATCAAGGAGTAGGTGATACATGATTTTGAAAAATATAGAATGATGCAAGCCGAATTGGCGTGGGCAGGAAATGCATCAGCCGCTAGGTCCGCAGTTATTTTCTAAAGGAATAGTATGCTTTTGAATGGGAGGTTTTGGTTTTCGAGTTTCCGCATGTTTATTATCGTTGCGTTGTTTTTGGCGCATGTCTGTTTCTGTTCAAGTTGTAGGATGACTTCCTTATCATCAGATGTATTAAGAAACTGATGGCGGTTATAAACAGAATGATGAATGTACTTGTTATGCAACTCCTAGAGTGCCTTCGATGAGAGAATTATTATGCATTCGCTTTCCATTGGTGTTATCTGTATTATCGGAGTTCCAGGTTTCATTACTAAGACCTCGATATTACTAAACCTTTCCTATTGACAACTAAGGTCTCGTTCCAAAAACTTAACAAGTACGTGCCTCTTAGATACTTCACTTCCTTCTGGCTTTCGATGGTTCCGTTGAAGATTAACTTTCCGCGAGTACTTAGAATATGTGCATAAAAAGACAGCTGATTCTTGTAGAGCTCTCTCAAGAATTATGCTTAACACGCGGGGACCTAAACAACGACATCTTCTTCTAATGAGCGTCATTAGGTCCGTCATCCTCGATGCTGCGCCAATATGGTCAAGAGCGATGGCAACGCCGAGCTACAGCCGGGACATTTGCGCGATCTACAGACTGAGCGCAATCAGAGTCAGCTGCGCTTTCAGGACTATCTCCGATG